CATAGGCCAAGCCTGGTACTCTGGGCACATGTGCTCACATCCTATCATAACAGTTGGTTGAATTTGATTTCAGTTAACAGCAGGGGCAGCACAGTGGCTCAGTGGTTAGCACTGCTGCCTCACAATACCAGGGACCCAGCTTTGATTTCAGCCTCAGGTGACTGTCCACGTGGAGTTTGCACATTCTCCCTCTGTCTGAATGGGTTTGCTCCGGGTGCTCCGGTTTGCTCCCACAGTCCAAAGATGCGTTAGCCATGGGAAATGCGGTGTTATGGGGATAGGGTTGGGCGGGGGGGATGCATCTGGATGGGATGCTCTTCATAGGGTCAGTGTGGACTTGATGGGCTGAATGGCCTGCTCCCACACTGTAGGGATTCTATGATTGATTCATATCTGGAATATAAAGCTGGTCTCATTGATGGTGACTGTAAAACTATACCTCATTGTTATAATGGAGAAAGGCAGGAAATTTGCCAACCTTATTTTGCCAGGTCTACATGTGACTCCAGATTCATTCCAATGTGGTTGGCTTGTAACTGCCTTCATAAATCACTCAGTTCAAGGGCAATTAGGGATGAGCAACAAATATTAGCCTTGGCAACAATGCCCACATCCTTCGAAAGAATAAAGAAGTGTGTAGCATTAGATATAAGTGTAAATGTAATGTTCATGCAGATGTAATTTGTTAGAGATCAAGCAATTAACATGCTAAAATGCATGATGTAATAGACAGAAGATCAAGCCTCAGACATGTTCAACTACTTGATCACACTTCTTGCAGTAAGTAATATGGCTAGGAGAGTAAGACTGCATTTTGAATTGTCAAGGCAGTGACGCATAACTCCATACAGAAGCTCATTCTATAATAGTCGGGATAAATCAAACACATTGGTAGAGCTGAAATTATGACTGCTCTCCCACAGTATGGCAGCAGATGGAAAGGAGTGGATTCCTCTTATGGGGTTGGAGATTGACTGACACAATTAATCTGCCAACTTTATTGATGTGTGCAAAAATAATTCTACAGTGATACTTTTGAAGGGTATATAATTGCACCAAAGATGCCAAACTTTCAATCAAAGCTAATTTGTTATCGATCACTAATCAGTTTACAAAGCCTAGGTATAATTTGTTCACTGATTTTTCTTGCTACTTTCAAATTCTAAGTAATAACTACATTTTATTGAACTCTATACACTAGTGAAACAGATGGTTCAATTGACTGCCCTTTGACCTTAGCAGATATATACTATTTGCTCTGATAAGTTATTTATGTGCTGATGTGCCCTCTTATTGTAGATTTAAAATAGCTTGTGAGATTATCTTGCAATATGAACATCAGTGGATAGGATTTTCTGGCCAGCAGTGAATGAATAATACTTGCAGTTTATTGCTTTTACAGCTGCTCATTGAGTTTTTGTGAGCTTTTGTGCAGCAACTCATCATCACCAGGAACTGGAGACAGCTTATTGCACCCTACCCTCTGGGACTTACCTACACAGAGTGATCAACTAGCATCTCTTCAAGAAATCAGATCAAAGAATCCCAAATAAGATACACAGAGTCTGAATACAGAAATATAATTTGGAATAGAGTCATAGAGTTATAGAGATGTGCAGCACAGAAACAGACCCTTTGGTCCAACTCATCCACGCTGACCAGATATTCTACATTAATCAATCCTATTTAACCCATATGTCTCTAAGCCCTTCCTATTAATGTACTCATCCAGGTGCCTTTTAAATGTTGTATTTGTACCAGCCTCCACCACCTCCTCTGGTAACTCATTCCACAGACACATCACCCTCTGCGTGAAAAGTTGCCCTGAGGTCCCTTTTAAATCTTTCCCCTTTCATCTTAAACCTATGCCCCTTAGTTTTGGAACCCCCTACCCTGGGGAAAAAACCGTGACTATTCACCCTATCTATGCCCCTCATGATTTTTATAAACTTCTGTAAGGTCACCCCTCATCCTCCAATATTAAATTTAATACTAGTTTCATGTGTTAAATAGAGGAAGTGACCAGAAGGTCAACCAAGATATTCCCTTGCAGTCATATTGCAATTACATAGCATAATTCTCAATGGTCACTTATGCTGACAGCTGATTCTGGGAAAGGAAACCATGTTGGGGGTTGGGAATTCCCTTGCTTTTTCATGAAAAAGGGATAGTTCCATGAGAGGAAGAGCAGGGAATCTGAGTGAGGAGGAAGGAGTAGGAATATCCTATATAAAAATGGAAAGAACTGCTGATGCTGTAAATCAGGAAACAACAAAGAAGTTGCTGGAAAAGCTCAGAAAGTCTGGCAGCAACTATGAAGAAAAAATCAGAGTTAATGTTTTGTATCCAGTGACCCTTCCTCAGAACAGATGGTAGCTAGCAAAAGAGATAGTAGGAACTGCAGATGCTGGAAAATCTGAGATAACAAGGTGTAGAGCTGGATGAACACAGCAGGCCCAAGCAGCATCACAGGAGCAAGAAGGCTGACGTTTCGGCCCTAGACCCTTCATCAGAAATGGGGGAGGGGAAGGGGGTTCTGAAATAAATAGGGAGAGAGGGGGAGGCTCTATCCATCTTCTATCCGCCTCCCCCTCTCTCTGATTCGCTACAGTGAATCACAAAAGTAAAAATTACACGATTAAATAAAGTTTGGAACTGTAACTTTCAGATTTTAGTGAAAATATTGGTTGGAAAAATATTCAATTCACAATTGAGGTCAATGTTCAGTATTAATACATGAACAAATTAAACTTTAAAAATTGTTAATAAGTTTGTGCTACATGCTACATTGTGCACAATGGTATCTGGTTTCAGGCATCAGGAGTGTGGGGACAGGCTGGATAGAGCTGCTCACTTTTTCAGTTCAATACAGTAGATGTTGCAACATATCAGGGCACAGATTACAGATAACACTAAAGAAATGGACAGCTATTCTATTTAAATCAAAATTTGATTTCAAAACATGACAAGCTAGCATGTCTCCTGTACAGTTCCATAAATTAGCAGGTCCTGTGCTGCTTTTGTTGCTGAGGCATGCTATGAAGTGCTCATTCTAAATCAACACTGTCTTTTAACTTGCCGAAACATAAATGGCATAACCATTTAATTACTCTATTTAACTGATTGTTCAGTCATTATTTGCATTAATTTCAACAATTCAACACAAATTTCAGGCTGAGCAGTTGTATGTTTTTCTCTCATAATGTCAGAATTGTTTGCTCTCAATGTATTTTTCTTTCTTTATGTGTATGAGGTTTCTCTATATTTAGAAGTGGGTGATGTGACACATATAGAGGGAAGCAGTCTGATACCGAAATCAGTACAAAAGGGTCATCTCCACTCGGACTTACCTCCTGTAATTGGGTCTTACCTTGGTACGGCAGAAGAAACTTATTGGCAAAAACATGGGGTCCCTGATTTATGAATGTCTGACTTATCAATGCCCATACTTAAAAACACAACCTCATCAGGGGTATAAATTTAAAGATCCAAATATTTCTTGTATCTACAAACAGTTCCTTTTCATTGTCCTGCATCGTGTTCCAAATTGCGTACAAATCAACTTTTGAATAGACACCAGAATGGAACCAGTTCACAATCTGGGGACTACCTGTACTCATAGGTTTCTAGTAATAATAATAAAAATATTTCTTTTAAAGTTATTGGATGGCAGGTCAGGTCAACCCAGTGGAATGTACATCCTGCAGTCTGTGTAATGTAGCGAACACACACAGTAACCCAGACAAACATAAGCAGGAAGTAACACCAGCTGCAGAAGTTTCAACCGTGGGTTATAGATCTCGTGTGATGCCTTGAGTCAATGTTGTATGTCTGTGACACAGATGACTATGTGAGTAGCATGTTTAGGAAAGTAGTCCTATTTCAGAATAGAAGTATACAATCAGGTAATAAAGAAGGTAAATAGAATTCTGGCATTTAATTCTAAAGGAATAGAGTATAAAGGTTAGGATGTCTTGCTGCAAATGTACAAGGCATTAATCAGACCGTACCTGGAGAACTGTGGACAATTCTGATCCCCTTACTTGAGGAGGGACATGGTTGTTTTGGAGGCAGTTCGGAAGAGATTCACTAGATTAATTCCAGAGATCAGACTTTGTCTAATGAAGGCAGACTGAGCAATTTAGGCCTATACTCTCCGGAGTTTAGAAGAATGAGAGGAGATCTAATTGAGATCTCAAGATGTGAAAGAGGACTGACAAATTAGTGTAGAAATCTAGAACAAGAAGTCATAGATTTAGGATGAGGGGTAGCAGATTTAAAACAGTTGAGGAGGAATTACTTCTCTCAAAAGGAATCTGTGGAATTCATTACCCTAGTGTACAATGGATACTGAGATTGAGGGCACCACCAAAATACAAAACAGGAATTTTGATTTGAGACTTAATATTATGCCTGAATGAAATGTAGCATCCTTTTAATAACATCTCAATTATATAATAAAACTGCCCAAAATATTCTTTGAATTCAGCGTCCCTGAGATAATGCTTAAAATTGCAATGCCAAACAGTATTCTGACTCACTATTAGAACATAAATAACCTATGACATCTTGTGTCTTCTCAAGGGGATTGCAGTTCAAAAGTACGCAGAGCCTTGATCAGACGTGATACAGAGTACTGTGTTCAGTTTTGGGCATTGAACCTTATGGGAAACAAGCTGTTAAACTTGGAAGTGAATGCAGATGAACAGAATTATTCCTGGGTTAACAAACAAGGACCTGCTGCATAAATGATAAAAGGTCAGTGACCCTGAAATGTTAAATGTTTTTCTCCCCACAGGTGCGGTCAGAGCAGTTGAATATTTCCAGCATTTTCTTCAAATTTTAAGTTTCCAGCAGTCTGGGAGATAAATGTTAGCTAGGAGAACATTAATGCTCTTCTTTGAAAAAGGTAATGTGATCTTTCATGCCCTGCTGACACGACAGAGAAGGCCTAGTTTAATGGGATGTCAAGCTGTCCTGGGAACTCGTGAGTCACTGCATTTTGAACAATAAACAATTTTATTGTGTTAAGCTGACCAGAACAGGTTGCTGAGACAACAAGGTGTAGAGCTGGATGAACACAGCAGGCCAAACAGCATCAGAGGAGCAGGAAAGCTGACGTTTCGGGTCTAGACCCTTCTTCAGAAAATGTTGCTAATTGGCTATCATCCATTCTTTGCTAATATTCCAAGATGAATTTATACTCCAATGGTTCATCTGAAAAATGTGCCTCGAATAGTACAATATTCCTTCAATAATATATTCAGGTGTCAGTTTAGATTTTTAAGGAGAGTTGAGTACAAAACTCTGACTCTTAAGTGAGATCATGATCACGAAGTCAACTACAGCATTATTAACTCAAATTCATTCCCTGCTCCCCCACAGTAAACAGTAAAATGTTATTTCATAATCACAGAACTGAGTATTCAATTATTTCGAGCTCCTGCAAATGCATAGCCTTTAATATATTAATGTCATTTTGACTGTTTCAGTAATCATTATTGCACACCAGATTAGCATACACAGAATTATTACACTGCCAAAGAAAGGTGTTCAGTTGGTGTCTACTGCAACTCTCAGAATGAGAATTTCATTTAATGCTGTTCTTCAGACCTCTCCCCATAAGCATGTGCTTATTTCTTTTAAATAACATTCTAATTCCCTTTTGAATGCAGTGATTGAACCTACCTTTGCTGTACTCTCAGAAAATGCCACTCTGGAACCTAGCCATTAACGAAGTAAAAAAGCTTTTGTTCCTAATATCACCTCTGGTTCCTTAGCCAATTATTTTAATGCTGTGGCATTTCATTCTTGATCCTTTTACAAGTGGGACAATCCCCCATCTACTTCCTAGACCCCACGATTTTGAACACCATCACCAGACGTCCTCACAGCTGTCGGATCTCCCCTCAGTCTTCTCTTTCCAAGGAACACAGTCCCAACCTCTCCAAACTGAATTAATAACTGAAGTCCCTCATTCCTGGAACCACTCCTCACCAATGCCTTCATATTCTTCCTGAAATTTGGGACCCAGAACTAGATGCAATACTCCAGCTGAGGCTAAACTAATATCTTATACAAGTTCAAAATTACCTATTTGCTCCTGTATCCTATGCACCTGTTAACAAACCCTGGGATATAGTACATTTATTAACTGTTTTCTCATCGAACCGTCACCTTTAATTAATTTTGCAAACATATAGCCATGACATGCTGCTCCTTTACTTCCTAAAGGAGAGTTAGATCCTTTGTTTTATATTGTCTCTCCATGTTTTTCCCATCAAAATGCATCACCTCACATTTCTCAATATTGAAATGTTTGCACATTATTCCAAGTTGTCAACATTCTTTGAAGTTCTACATTATCTTCTTCATGGTTGAAAATGTTTCCAAGTTTTGTATCATCAGCAATTTTTGAATTGTACCCCCTAACTCAAGGTCTAGGTCATCAGTGATGTAGGAATAGCATGGTTTAAAATATTTGTCATAGGTAATTTTAAACAATCAACTGTTGTGGGCCAATCTCACATTTTTCTTGCAAGAAACTTGATGTCCACTGTGTTCACAAGAAGAATGCTTAGTATTATAAAGTGGCTATACACCAGTGCTTTGCTCAGTCACAAATTTGGTGAATTTGTGCAATTATTTAAAGTGCAAACAGTACTTGAGGTTTGTCATAACCCCAATTATCTGCACAGATTTGTTTCACAGGCTCAGAATTAGTCTTACACAAGTCATAAGTTTTCTCCAGAATATTGTCGTCTACTTCAACACTGTCCTGAGTATGACATCTTTGGTCTATGCCATTGATATGAATTTTAGCTGCATATGGATCATCCAAGTCAGCATTTACTGGTTCACTGTCATTCACATCAGTATTAACTTGGTCAACAAAGATGTCTGAAGGAGGTTTGGTCAAATCCTCTTGTGTCTCATCACACTGGTCAACTTCAGGAACAGCAAGTGTCTTCTCCAATCCTTTCAGCTCACTTAAGTTACTTTCATCAGATTCCATGTTTACATCCATGTATGCTTTCCCCCTCTCACCCATAATGCGATGAACCTAGAAATTAGATTATAATTTTAGTTTTATTTAAATGAGATGGGTAACAAATGTCAAATACATCTCTTTCATTCAAATGTATTTCTATTTATGTTTGAGTAAAAATGCTCTGCGGATTGAATTCCCACTTCAGTAATGCATTGCCATCTTGCTGCATTCTAAAACTTTGTTCCTCATTAATCAAATTCAGCCAATTTTAAAACTCTATACCTGTTTGTTAATCTTGCTATATTGAAATTACTGTGATATAAATGCTTTGCTAATACATCAACAATTTGCTTGCTCTGAAGTAGTTTATCCTTGCATAATTTTAGTGGACATAGTATGAATATATCTAAACATTACTAGTTACACACTATGACATTGTACAATTGTTAATTAAATCTGAAATTGGCAAATTCACAATGTATAGTATTCTGTCCCTGTAATCTTTGCTTGTTACATTTAAACACATAGGAAATAGCCCTTTCCACTAGCAGAAAAAAATTGCAAACTCACCAAAACCTTGGGCAATACTTGCTTCTTCTTAACAAAGTGACAGATGAACAGTGTTGCAATTATAATGAAGACAATGGCAAGAATAGTTACTACTGAAATTACAAAGGGAAAGACTAAAAAGACAAAAAAGACAAAAAAAAGTGAAAAAATGGTTATCAACTGAACAAGAGCAAATATATTGCAAGCATGTTTTTGTGAAATTTACATATTTGAGGTTAAAGAGCATAACTTAACAAAAACTAAATATTCCTATTCAGTATTCAACAGTCCCCTCCCCACAACTCTTCTGTAATCCAAACTAAAATGTAAATATTGGTTTACTTCAGGAGGAGTTTCAATTGTTAATAGGTTACTGAAGAGTCTCAGCTCTTCAGTTAGTTCCAAACTCCACTACAGGCAATGGATAAAGAGTGAGAATGTTTTTTTGCAGTATGGCTAGGTAAAACAATAAAGAGTCACTCGATTAGGGTTTCTAATCTCTCGTGAACAATGAACAACTGCCTTTAAAAAAAAATATGGATTATTTATGCATTCAAAAGTAAGAGATTTCAGCTTCAATGCTCTTCAGCCTTTGGGACTCAATATCAGGTTCGATAATTTTAGCGCCTGAGCACCTTCTCCCATGTCCTTACCCTGTCCCCTACACCTCAGGCTTTGTTAGCAGATGGACTGTTACCACAGCCATCCGACTGTCAGCTTCTAGTAGTCTTCGTTAGCAGCTATTGATTCCCCAGGCTGACCTTTACCCCTGGAGATAGCAAAAACTGCAGATGCTGGAGTCAGAGACAACATACGGTAGAGCTGGAGGAACACAGCAGGCCTTGTAGCGTCAGAGGAGCAGGAAAGTTGATGTTTTGGGTCAGAACCCTTCTTCAGAAATGGGGAGGGGGAGCAGAGCTGGGGAAATAAATAGAAAGAAGAGGGTTGGGGCTGGGGAAGGTAGGTGGGATGGTGATAGGTGAATGCAGATAAGGAGTGGCGGGAATTGGTCAGTGGGATGGGTGGGGTGGATAGACGGGAGAGAAGATGGACAGGTTGTGTCAGGCCAAAGAGGTGCGCGGAAGGATGGGTGGGGCTGGAGAAAGGTAAGGTTGGGTGCGGGTAGGGAGTAGTGGGGATTGGTTGGCGGGAAGGGTAAGGCGGATAGGTAGGGAAGAAGATGGAGAGGTTGTGTCAGGTCAAAGAGGCAGGCATGAGAGGGAGGGTTGGACATAGGATGAGGCTGGGGGTGGGGAGATTTTACCAATTGCTTTTTCTGACCTGCAGTCGTTTTCTCTCTCTGGACTTCATCTCCACCTTTCGTTTACTCTTCACCCCCTTCCCCCACCCCATCCCCAGCATAAATAACAAACTTCTCCTAACCACAATCAGTTGTAAAGAAAAGTCACTGGACCCAAAACATCAACTCTGCTTTCTCTGCGCAGACACTATCAGACCTGCTGAGTTTTCCCAAAAATTTCTGGCTTTGTTTCTGACTTCCAGTATCTGTAGCTCTTCGTTCTATTTAGTTGTATTTAGGGAGATTATATTTCAGTTACACAGTACTGGTCACCTTATTTAAGGAAAGATATAAATACAGGTAATACCTGAAATAGGTTGTCCTTTTGAAGAAAGTTGGATAGACTAATCTTATATCTGCTGGAGTTTGGAAGAGTAAGATCTGACTTGACTGAAATATAAAACACCCTGAGAGGTAGTGACACAGTCATAGAGTTATACAGCACAGAAACAGACCCTTTGGTCTGCACTGACCAGACATCCCAATCTGACCTAATCCCATTTGCCAGCATTTGGCCCATATCCCTCTGAACGCTTCCTTTTCATATACCCGTCCAGATGACTTTTAAAATGTTGTAATTGTATCCGTCTCCACCACTTCCTCCATCAGTTTGTTCCATACACGCATCAGCCTCTGTGTGAAAAAGTCACCCCTTGGGTCCTTTTTAAAAACTTTCCCTTCTCACATTAAACCTATGCCCTCTAGTTTTGGACTTGCACACCCTGTGAGAAAAAGAAAGCCTTAGCTATTCACCCTATCCCTCATGATTTTATAAATCTCTGTAAAGGTCAGCCCTCAGCCTCTGATGCTCCAGGGAAAAAAAGCCCCAGCCTATTCAGTCTCTCCAGCCTCTCCCTATAGCTCAAACTCTCCAGTCCCAGCAACATGCTTGTAACTCTTTTCAGCACCCTCCCAAGCTCAACAGCATCTTTCCTTATAGCAGGGAGACCAGAATTGTATACAGTATTCTAAAAGTACACGTTAAATGTAGAGAGGTTGTTTTCCCTTTATGGAGGAATCTCGAACTAGGGGATCACTGTTTAAAAATCAGGGATTGCCCATTTAAAATAAATTTTTCCTCTCTCATAAAGTATCAAGATCTTTGGAACTCTCTTCCTGCAAAGGGAAGCAGATTCCGTGAATATTTTAAGGCAGAGGTAGAGAAATTATCATTAAACAAGTGGTTGAGACGTTATCTGGGTAGTTGTGAATACAGATTTGAGGCTACGCTTGGGACAGCCATGATCTTATTGAATGGCAGAGGAGGCTCAAGCATGGGCTGAATTATTTACTCCTGCTCCTGATTTTTAATGTTGTAAAGAATGAGATACTAACAGCAACGAGAGAAAGAGGAAATAAAAGAAACCACCAAGTATAATGAAAATGCAAATGAAGAATAAGCGTAGCTGGACTAAAGAAAAAAATTGTGTAATGAAAAGGTAATGACATATTGGAGTTGGAAAGTAATTAGAATTAAATTGAAGTTATGCACCAGAAGGTGAATTTTTTGGACAGGTAGAAAAACAATGAAACAAAAGATAGTGGAGGCATAAAAGGCAAAGATAATAGAATATTACGTGAATGAGGTGTAGTAGCAAAAAGATGGACAGATCATTTAACTTTGATGATCCAAGTCGAGGGAATCCTCAAGATATAGAGGCAAATGATGGATGAAACATTATGATATCAGAGGTAAAGAATGCTTCAAAATTGATGAATACAGGGAAAGCTCGAGACACAGATGAACAAATAGCAGAACACCTGAAGGCCTTTGGAGAAATGCGATTCAAAATATGATCAACTAAATAACTAAGAATACAAAGTGCAATCATTTTAGAACTAAGCTTAAATGAGTCATCTCATTAAAATGATACCTGGATCATTAAAAAAAAAGTAACATTGCTTTGGAAGCAGAAATTAAAGGAAATGCCTGGATTTAGACTTGGAGTAGAAGCAAGAGAGAGAATATTTAATCAAAGAACAAGCTTTAAAAAGTATCTAGAAGTAAACAAAAACATTTACACATGCTTCACTATGAAAAAGCATTTGATGAGTGTTAAGTTGATAAACAAATAGATACATTTCTGAAATGTAATGGTAACAACAAAAGAAAGTTTGTGCTGAGATTTACCCAGATCCCATTTTGGGACCAAACAGCAAGCATCAAGCTCAAGGAAGAGCGAAGTACAGTCTGTGTACTGATGCCAAAATTATTCAACCTATAGACGGAACAATTATTCAGAGAATTGGACATATATCTAGGGGACAAAACAGAGGCAAGAACACCAACTTGCAGGAAGCTGATGGCAGTGCTACCTGCAGAATTAGAAGATGACCTACAAAACATGATAGATCAAATAAAATCTAGAAGTTTAGAATATGAATGGCATATAGACAAGAAAGACAAAAAAGGTAGTTACAAAGAATACATTAGAAGATGCTAGAGTGAAAATTGGAGACTGAGACTAGTGGATATGTTTGTATAAGTAGGACAAATGATAACAGATGAAGGCAGATATGATTCAGAATGAGGATAGAGATAGGCAGGATAATTTCATGAAGATGAAGGATGTGTTAACATTAAGAAAAGTCAAACTTATAACAAGGGCAAAACTCATAAGATACATTTTAACCATTTTCTTGTGGACCTAACTTGCCTGTTTAACAAATACAAATCTGTGGAAACAGGCTTTTGAAATGTGGATACTAAGACTTAACATCTGTATACGATATTTTATAGCATAACACAAATGAAGAAGCATGTGAAATTACAAGAGCTAAATGAAACTTTACAAAAGCACTATCCAGAAAATAAAGTGTCAGTACTTGAGCCATATCATATTATCAAAGCTGCAAAGCTACAGAGTTCTCTTCTAGCGGGCAGCTGAATGAGAGATTCATCTAGGTTTAGTTGGATTACGGATATTAGAGAGCTTACAGGCGACATATGCAGATGGCACAAGACAAATGAGCGCGACATAGCATGACAGCAGGGCTCCTGCGTGGAATACCTATAAGTATCAGCAGCAGCAGCAACACTGTTAACTTCATTAGATACAACGTGGAGGGGAATTTCTTCCTTGAATGGTCACTTCAACAGATAAAGTTTAGGCAACAAGACTAAGCTGTGCAGGAAACGAGTACAAGCTTTGACCAGCATATAGCTCAACAATTTATTCATACCTCTGAAGGGCACAATGCTGATTGGGTGCAATTTGGAAATAATTTCTGACTTTAAATCATCTGTTGTACTACCTGGATTCACATCCTCCACTGGATACGTCTCATTGTGGTGCTCCTCATTATCCTGGTAATCCAGGTAGTCATCATATGTATAATCCTCAGTAGTCAGGTTGCCCTCAAACTCTTCATCTTCTTCTGCCAAAGGGCAAGTCAGCTCTTCATTCTGAGCAACGGTGTGGTTCTCACTCCTTAGGGTTGGTGACCAAGGCAAATTCATTGAATCTGTCAAAATATTGCATACTACTCGTGAATGATGTTTGCCTTCACATGGCAGGACTTTAGGAAGCAGTCAAGGACTGTCCATGCAAAATTCCATCTTTGCCAATATGACTTTTTTTATTTTTGCTGCCCATTGAAGTCGTTGCAGGTTTCCCTTCCCAAATTCCAAAAGGACTCCCAACTTCAAGGAGAACTGGTCTTCACTGTTAGCCAAATAGTCACCTCCCTTGATTACAGATGGTTCAGATAAATTAGAGGTGATTTTTAGCTTCTGGTTAAGATGGTTTAGAACTAAGCATTCTTGAAAAATTAAGTGCAAAGGACGCAATGTTTTCTTATTCATGTTCCCTTGCCTAATAAATCAGAACTCCACATAAGAACTCAGACAAGTCTGTAGGGGGCACTCGGGAGAAGTGGGGTAGAAATTCGTATGCCTTTTACCAATGTGAACACAGTGGATATCAATTTCTGCATTGTCGTCACCACATTGGTCTTCACTGTTTGTTTTTAGGTAACCCCGAGGATTTTTGAAAGTGGTGTGTCCAGCTCATTCATCTGTCCCAGTAACTGTTAAGTAATATTTATGAAAAAAAACTCAGTAGAGCGGTACAGTGTACACTCAAGCTAGTGTTTCTACTCCTACTGTGTTGCTTCTAGCTCAACAGCACTTAATGGGCCTCTACCGTAATTGCCGACTTCCATTTCTATTCTGGGGATTTACAAAATGGATGCTGCGGAGGAACGGGTCACTTGGTGCACTACCTCTGGAGGCACCTTGAGCCCAAACACCTTGTTGCAAATTTTAAAATTTGCTTAATGCTCAAATTTGAGAAATCTTTTAGCCCACTTTGTTGCAGGCATGTGTGCCCATTTCACATTGAGTTCAGACACTGTCCAATTACTACCCCTAGTGTAGGCAGAGGAAAGGTTTAGTATTTTCATTTAACATAGGAGATCCTTGACTTTATATTTAAAATAAAAACTGCAGAAGGAAAGTATATTAAATCTTTACTGAGGAAAATGCTGGTTAGCCCCAGCAAGAGTACTGTAACCAACTCTGGTCACTATACTTTGGAAAGTATGTCAAGGCCTCATAAAGGGTGCAAAGGAAATTTATGAGAATGGCACATGGAGGGTTTACAGAAAATGTGTTCTTTTTAAGAGCATAGAAGGTTAACGAGATTTTTGACAGAGGTGAATCCAAATGAGTAGGGCAGAAATCAGAAGTGTGATCCCTGGATGAGTGTAGCTTCCAAAACACTCAAGAAGCTTGACACCATCTAGGACAAAGCAGCCCATTTGACTGACACACTGTTGTCCACCATGAAAACTCACTCCTTTCATCACCAATGCACACAGGCAGCAGTATGTACCATTTACAACATTCGCTGTAGTAATTCAATAAGACCCCTCTGACAGCACCTTCCAAAGCTGTGACTTCTCCCATGAAGGGCAAAGACAACAGATACATGGAAACACCACGACCTGCAAGTTCCTCTCCAAGACCGACACAATCCTGTCTGAGAACTATATCGCTGTTCCTTTGCTGTTGCTGGGTCAAAATTCTGGAACTCCCCTCCCACCCCAAAAGGATTGTGGTTCTCCCTGCACCGGAGAACTGCAGCAATTCAAAAAGGCAACTCATCATCAACCTCTCCAAGTCAGTTAGAGGTTCACGATCAAAAACTAGCCTAGCCAGCCATGTCCATATTCCATGAACAAATAGAGAACGTTGTCTCATGCGACTCAGGTTGTGGTGTTAGGTGATGATTGACATCAGCAATGTTCCAGAACATGACCTGCCCCTAGCTGGACATATTGCTCACAGATTACTGGTAGCTTTCAGCCAGCACTAACACGAACCTCAATTCTGGATCCTCACTGTACACCATGGGAGACAAAGTCAGCGTCTCCCATTCAGCGACACACAAATGCGAGCAGCCTGTTAATGTTAGAGTTGGCAACCCATATCAGTTTTGCCTGCAACGATGCCAGTCAGGACGAGTGGGTGCCGAGGGTTGTGCTTGGTTATACCCCACAGGTACAGGGCATCATTGACTATAGACCTGAGAATCAAATCCTGCAGCGCTGCCAGGAGGTTTTATCAACAACCAGAGCTTGTGTGCTGCTGTTGTTTAATCACAGAGATATTTCAGAACATATTCGCCGGATCCCCAGGAAGGTGCATCCAGCCGACATGCTTCAGACGCCAAGATAGATCCGAAGGTAACTTTCAGTGGGCCCAGCCAGAATCACCAGAATGGCCATGGCGCACTGTGCTATGCATGATATTACGCAGGAATGGTCATGGCCTAGAAAATCACACGTTTACTCTCTGGGGTTCAGAAGAACGAAAACCAATCTTATTTATAACATAGAAGTATCTGAAAGGGTTTGACTGAGAGGTTGTTGCCCCAGCTGGTAAATCTAGGACACTGGAGTACATTCTCAGTTGGTCAATCACTTTTAGGTTGAGAAGAAATTTCTTTCCTGAATTTCTGAAATGTTTCATTATGATGGAGCATTCACAACCCTCCGTGGAGGGTTTCTGAAGCTGAAACTTGAGTAAAGGCTGATTATCAGCTATTAGCTGATGAACAGTGTAGAAGGATTGAGACCATACTCCTGCTACTTCTAATGATTCAGTTTTGCTTCATTTGCTTAAGCTAATTATTCATTTTTTTTAAACAGGTCTTCTCCATTTCCTGCCATTTCGTCATTGTCAGAGATTCTGCATCGATTTGTCCTCAATATCAGTCTCTAACTGTCCAGCTCCAATCTTGCTGCTTCCATTGCCTGAGATTTCAGTCTGATTATTTAAATGGTTTTCACTGCATCAGTAGTTCCTTTGAAAAATTTTGTCCTACAAATGTCCTTGCTCCATTTCTAGGTCTTCTGTCCTTAATTCTTATTCTGGTTCAATAATTAATATTCACATCTCTGTTTGCATTTCTTCATCTCAGAGGTTGGAATTAGACTCTGTCATATTAACAGGATCTTCTGAGTTACAGGCAATATGTTAGTAAAAGCCATGTGCACAAGTTAGACACAAAGAACACAGAGCTGATGTGGTTATACAAGGTGAGTACTCAAAAGTCTCACCTCTTCCCTTGTCTATTTCCACATTTATTGTTTAACCTTCCTGGTTACAAGCTCTTGCTTGAATCATTTGTTAAGGTTTGGAGACTACATTACACTCTGCTTGGCCATACCTAGTTTGCAATTTAGATCCATATGCTCCTCTGGTTTTAAACCTAACCACCAGGAAAGTTGTGCTCAATACCTTCTGTTAAACTTGGCCCCAGCCTGGTTTGCTGATTGGCAATATGACGTTATATCCGTAGAATGGGCTTTTCAAATTCTTTTGCGCTCTCTCTCTCATTCTGAAGCGGTTCTTTATTGCAGTTCTTCGTTTTCCCTCAGGCTCAGAGTTTCCGCCTCTTCTCCCTGCAAGAACCGTTCACATGATACTGTGATCTGCTTCCAGCAGCCAGTTTGCAATGTTTACAGTATAGCAATGATTTCCTTGGAGAACTCTCTATTGAAACCTTGTTGTTTTCACAGAATGGAATGCTGACAAGTCTCTGATGCAGTTGTCCTTTGGGAGTCTCTTAAATTTCCATGGCTGGTACTGTTGCTGGAATTCCAAGTCAGTGCTCACACAGTTGGTTCAAGTCTCTTTAGTTCTCAGACTATTACTTAAATTGACAGAGACATCAAAAAAAAAGCAACACAGAGGGATCTGGGTGTTCTTGTGCATGAAACTCAAAATGTAAGCTTGCAGGCAGCAAGATGGTGATTATGGCCTTTATCACTAGAGGCTGGATAAGCTTAGTTTGTTTTCTTTGAGCAGAAAAGGCTGAGAGGGGAACTGATTGAGGTGTAGAAGATTGAGGGGCATGGACAGGGTGGATACAAAGTGACTGTTCCCCTTAAGTCGATAACAAAAATTTTAAAAGGTGAAAGGCAGGGATTTGAGAAAAACTTCTTTCAACCAGAGGGTGCTGGGGGCCTGGAATAAACTACCTGCAAAGGTTGTTGATTAGGAAACCTCAAAACCTTTTTTAAAAACAACCTGGATGAGCACTTGAAATATCAAACCATTCAAGGCTATGGGCTAAGTAATGGAAAGTGGGACTAGTGTAGATTTAGAGTAGCTTTTTGTCAGTGCAGACTCGATGAGATGAAGAGTATCTTAGGGACTGTATGATATTGTACGTGGTTGGTGTTCAGAAACAGGGAAGTCCTGTCACAACTGTAGGATGTACTGGTGACGTTACACCTGGAATATTTTCTAGGTTTTGGGTTACTGTATTCAAGAAAGGATTAAGTGGCCCTGGAGGCTATTCAAGTGATTCACTTGGCTGATTCCAGGGGTGAGGGGTTGATGTATCAAGGGTGGTCAAACAGACTAGGCCTTTATTCATTAGAGTTTCGAAGAATGACGGCTGATCTTATTGAAACATACAAGATTCTGAGCGTGGGCTTGATAGGGCGGATATCGAAAAGATGATTCCACTAGTGGGGAAGTTGCAAACTGGAAGACACTGTTCCCTTATTCTGTAGCTGTTAGTTGAAGCTGAGACAAAAAGGAATCTCTTTTCTCAGAGAGTAGCGAATGTCTGGAATTCTCTACCACAGTTGTGGAGGCTAGATCAGAGAAAGTATTTTAAGAGGAGGTAGATAGATTTTGGAAATATCAGCAAGTTGAGTACCACAAGGAGCTGTTGCCAGTCACAAACTTGTTCAATGGCAGGGCAGGCTTGAGGGGCTGAATGGCCTATTCCTGCTCCTATTTCTTATGTTTTCCTGCTTTCTTGGAGATATTCCTCTTAAGTGGACCTTGCACACCATCAGTGTGCAACGAGAGTTTAAGGTGCTCATTTACCTTTGCCTGTGGCTCATGAAAGTGCTGCTGCCTAGACTTTGCTGCCTGTCAGTCATCTTCCTCATCCCTTGAGAAGCGAATATCTGGGGCAGCTCTCATCAAAGTACAAATGCAA